TTGAACTTCATGCATTTTCTCCAAAAGTGCTCAACTTGCACACCACAAAGCTTTCTCAAATTGAATTTGCTTAAAACAAATTGGTTTCTTATCCTTGAAAAGAGAATCATGTAGCCTTTTTGTATCAGCAGTCATAACTCAGTAATAGATTAATGATTGTGTTACATAACAATGATTGTTTAATTTTGTCTATTTTTCCTTTTCAAAATTGAACTTAGCCCTAGGGTTTTGTGTTATCACCTAGTATCAAAATGGTTCCAGTGGTTGTTGTGTTTACTTTATGCTTGAATTCATGGATCCATTTATTATAGGACTTTCATTTCACACAACAGAGAAAACATTATCAGAAGCATTTTCAAATTATGGAAAAGTTATTGAAGGTAGCTTCAAAATCAATGTGATTAGTATAATGCATTAACATTATGTTACTCATTTCTTGCTTTTTTTGACAATGTTATTTTTTTCTAGCTAAAGTTGTAAGTGATAGGGTGTCGGAGAAATCTAAAGGGTATGGTTTTTTTACTTTTTCTTCTCAAGACGAAGCTAAGAATGCCATAGTTGAGATGAATGAAAAGGTAATTGTTGTACCCCAAAATTTGCCCTCTCATTTTATCAAGATTTCCCCTCACAAGACTCTTTGGACTCCAGACAGGATTAGGGTTTGATCTGTTCATGACATCTCCTTGCACTGTTGACCTGAATTAGGTTTGAGTTTGCACAAGGATTTTTGGATTTTTAATGCCCCATGTGTCTTTCATACTTCATGTTGGACTTATAAGATTGCCCATACCAAGTTTCAAGCTTTGAATCAAATTTTTGCCCAAATCTAACCTGCAAAATCAACAAGACAAGCTAGGTACCCAATCATTATTAGGTCCTTGGAGGTTAGTGAAAAATTGATTGCAATTGGGAAACCATTGAAAAACATCTTTAGCAACCAAAAGACTCCTAAATTTGCATTTTTCAATAGTGTGGCATTTCTTGCAACAATACTGACAAGTTAAATCTTCATCGTCACTAGAATCAATATCAATGTTCTCATCTTTTGAGTACCTTGAATAATAAGTCCTAAAAGCTTGAGACTTCATTCCTTCCTCCTTATTTGTGACTTTCTCCTTTTTCTTCTTCTCAAGTTTCTTCTCATGTTTGTCAAACAAGTGAGTTCTTGCTCATGTTCTTCTAGCTTTCCAAACAAAGTAGTGATATCAAGTGTTGTAAGAGCATTAGCTTCCTTGATTATGGTTACCTTTGGCTTCCAATTCCTAGTAAGACATCTCAAACTTTGTTAGTAGCAATATCATTGGAAATAGGATTACCTAGTGCATTTAAATGATTAATAAAATGAGAGAACCTCTTTTGCATTTGAGCAATAGTTTCACTATGCTTCATGCAAAAGAGTTTAAACTCTTGATGAAGTGTGTTAATTGTATCTTGTTTGACCTTATTGGTTCCCTCATGGGAAACTTGCAATGTGTCCCACATAGCCTTAGTGGTTTCACAATGGGAAATGTGATAAAATTCATCAACACCGAGAGCGAATATGAGAATATTTTGCGCTTTCCAATCGTGCCCCCACTTCTTCCTTTCATCATCATTCTATAGTGCTTCTGGCTTACGTGTAACAACACCATTAGCATCGATTTGAGTAATTGGTGTTGGTCCATTTAAAATTACATCCCACACACCTTTGTCATTATGAATCGATATGGATATGCATACAAGCTTTCCAATAACCATTGTTTTCTCCCATAAAAATTGGTGCTCTATTATATGCCCCTTTAGTTACGTTAGCCATTTTTTAATAAGAGTTTCAAAGTACGAAATTAATAAGAGCTCATGATAACCACTTGTTAGACTACTGCGACTTATCTAGAGGGGGTGATCCTCAAGTAAACATTACCTTTCAAAAATAGGTAATTAAAATTTATTTTGAAAGACATTGTTGATTGGAAGATTTTTACCCTAGATCGAAAAAAGTCGTTCTAAGCGAACCTTGTTATTGGAAACTCGGATATGCGAAAGTTGTATGGAACTAAAACAATGATAAAAAAAAAACCAATTATATCTCAATTAATTGTTTATGACAAACTACAACGAGTACCTATTTCCAAATGAAATTATGTATATAAAATGAAACTTGACAATTTATCGAACACTTGGCGTGCAATCGACTTTTCATATTTTCTTTTGAGCTTTGTTGATGTGAGAAAAAAACTTACAATCAAAGTGATTATAAGCTAAAAAAACAAAG